AGAGTTCAAGCCCCATGTTTGACAAAAAAAAGAAAAGAAAAGAAAAAAATCAAATTAGTTGAGGGAAAGATGACTGAAAAGATTGGGCAAAATTGTGAAAATGTACAAAATAATGCATTTGGATTTTCATACTCTTCAAGCTTGCTCTAACAGCAAATAAAACTAGAAACTGTAAGCTATATGTTATAACATATGGTTTATCGATGAAAGATGGTATGAATACCAACCAATAGGAATGTGCAAAGAAAAGACCTAGATGATTGGTGAATGCTTGTGAATTTATGGGGTATTTTTTTTTCCTTTTTATTCTTTGGGGTTTAAATTCAAGGCCTCAAGCTCACTTAGCTTGATTGGCTGATGCTTTACCACATGAGCCATATCATCATCTCTGTTTTTTACTGGTTACTTGTAGGACTTTTCTCCTAGGCTGGCTTCAAATCTTAATCCTCCTCAGGAGCTAGGATTACAGGCATTTCCAGTAGTACCTTGCTTACTTAAACTTGTGTATTTTCAAATTAAATACAATATAGTGTATGTCATTTGTAAAGTGCTGTCTGCTTTAACTGACTTCTTTTGAATGACTCAATCTTGATTACATTAGATAGGAAAATTTCTTCTGTATTTTTTTCAGGTTTTTTTTTCCAGGAGAAAGGATTTGTTTATTTATTCTACATCAAAATAGGTTCAGAAAACACAGAGTCAATCATGTTAAAGAGTTTCCTCTACTTTAATCCGTGGAGCCTCTACTATCCTATTGTACATTACTGTCTTCTGTCCAGGAAAGAAACTGAAAATACAATAATCTGGAACTGGGGAAGTGGCTCAGAGGTACAATACTTCCCTAAAATTTATTTGTGCCAAACCATTATTCCCCTTGGGACCATAAACTATTAACTTAAGGAATTAGTGTCCTAAATTATTAGTGTCCTGAAAAATCACAGGCGCACAGGACAAGTGCACACATGCTTTTCAACCTATCTACTTATTAGGGGCCCTGACTGGTTCAGAGAGCAGCTGTGGTGGCAGTTGTGCCCTTCAGGTTCCGTCTGCCCTGGGTTAGTACCCAGGGACCACAACAGGCCCAGAATACAGCAGTTGGACTGAAATGTTGGGAGTTAATGGGTCCTTCCTTCAGGGAGGAGGCTGGGCCAGGTTGCTGTTCAGAGAGAAGGAGAATGGAAATGATTTGGTCAACAGGAAATTCAAATTTTCTTCAGTCTACGGAACTGGGAACAAAGTAAAATCCTAATTTGAAGGGTGCTGCATCCTTCCCACTTCCAAAATTCTGCCAAATCTTTTGCTTGATTTTAATGAAGCCATGGCCACACACACACACACACACACACACACACACACACACACACACACACACACACAGAGTGAGAGTGAAGACAGCTAGCTCCTCTTTTACCAGGAATTATTTTCCCTGGACAAATTCCATTCCCCCTGACTCCTCACTGTACGGTTGCAGCTGCAGCTGCATGTCCGAACTTGAACTCATGAATGAGGAGAATGCTGGCAAGTCAGCATTCTGGGAAGCATCTGATAAAATGCTTCCCTTCTAGCTAAGCCCAGAGCGAAACTCCAAACTGTCCAGTGATGAGTCCCCACACTAGTGTATGATGATAGCGTGACACCCTGGAAAAGGTATCCAAGTTCTTGTCTGAACTTTCTTCCTATCTTGTTGAAATTTAGAATTCTATAGTCTAACTGCCCACTTCCAATATAACCAGCATCTATTTGCTATTTACTCTGTTCTCAACTTTGAGCCATCTTCTCTTACACAGATTGCTTCCAAACCAACCTCTTGATTCACTATTTTTCCTCTCACTCCATTCTCAATATAGCAGCAGAAAAGTGCTACTAAGAAAGAAGTCAGATCATGTCACTCAAAATCAGAACCAGCCCCTGCCCTTTACATACATAGTATATAGTCTTCTTTAGACTTCTATAGTCATACTTCAGATGTATGAAGTGTGAGTTTCCATTGGACATGTGAACCTTTGGATATTCCATTTTAACTATGCTGTGACAGTGGTGATATGCCTATTCACCTTTATTCCAGAAAATAAATTCAAGACTACACTTGTATATACATTATGGGAAGTGGCCAATTGTAGAAGAAATGTGGAATTCCAATGTCCAACCCAAGGCTCTTTAATAAATACCATTATACATGAAAATAGTATAGACTCCAGGTCTGTCATAGCCACATTTCTCGGCAGACACTGCCAGACATTTGTTCTTTTGTGCACTGAGTCTCTTGTTCAAATACTGAACATACAATCATAATTGTTTTAGCAATGTAGTATTATTTTTACATGTATATTTTCAAGTAATTTAAAACTTAAAATGATATAAAAATACACTAAGAAGCCTCATTACCACCATTGACCTCTTATACACTCTTCTGTCATCTCTTTGTAATTTTCATGAATTAAAAAAAATCGTGTCTCTATGCACATGTGAATTTATTCTATCATTTAATGACTATATATTACGTACCTCTGTGTTCTAGTCTACTATATTTTAGACACTGTTGAAGGGATATAGCTTTACTTTCATGAGCAGTAGTTCTATTCCCATAGTGTTGATCATCTAGAGGCAATAAATGAAATAAGAAAAGAACCGATTAAAAATGATATTGTACAAGTTTAAAGGGAGCACATCTCAATTTAAAATAGGGTCATCAGGGTAGACCTCGCTGTGTGAGTGATATTTTGTGTACATATTTGAATAGATAAGGAAAAGAGATGAGAGAAAGATGAGATGATGGGCTCTGGGGAGGACCATTCCAAGCAGAAAAAATCAGTGCCCAGGCTTCGAGCCTATCATATTTGAAGAACAGTTACACCCAAAAGTGGCTGGCATGCAGAGTGTGAGGGAAGGATAATAGGAGACAAAGTCAGGGGCAGAGAGTGTGGGTCATGTGTAACCTTATGAGGACTTGAGTGTTTAGTCTGAATGTAAAGGGGATGGGGCTGGTCCTGATTTTGATTGTCATGATCTGACTTCTATCTTAGTAGCTCTCTTCTGCTTCTATATTGAGAATAGAGTGAGGGGAAAAAAGAAACAGTGAATTGAGAGGTTAGTTTGGAAGCAGGCTCAAAGTTGAGAACAGAGTAAATAGCAAATAGATGCTGGTTGTGCTGGAAGGAGGCAGTAATGAGTTGAATACTATTGGGGCTGGAGAAAGAGAAGAGTCACTTGATCGTGACTCCAAGGTTTTTGACCTGAGCAATTAGAAAAATAAAAATTCTATCAGCTGAAATGAGGGAAAGTTATACAGCAAATTAGAGAAAATTATGAATTTGGTTATGCAAAATCAAGTTTAAATGATTTTTAAACCTCATGTGGGAAGTGGATCTAAATTGGGGGATTGTCATGGTTGGATGGTAGGTATTTTGCTGTAAGATGGGATGAGATATCTAAGGGTGTTAATATATATATAAGAAAGGAGGTGGGCCAAGAGTTGAGTCCTGGAACACTAAGAGGGTTCTTGCACGTCTTAAAAGGAAAAGGTTAGGCAGCAAAAGAATCCTAGAAAAATAAAACAGTGAAGGAGAAAATCAGTTTGAGTGGTATCCCAAGGCCTACCATGGAAAGTTCCTCAAAAAGGAGGGAGTAACAAATTAGGTGAAAAGCTGTACTGGTAGATGACTGGCTTTCATCATGAAGAAATCATCAGTGTGTGGCCAAAACAGTTTCAGCAGACTGAGGAAGTGAAAACCCTGGGAGTGGATTTGAGAGAGGCCAAGCCATTTGCCAGTAGACATCTCTTTCTGTGAATTTTGTTACAAAAGAGTGCAAAAAAAGGGGGGGGGTAAAAAGTGACTGAAGAAGTAGATTCAAGAAAAAAAAGTATGAAATGAGGAAAATAATGGCATCATTGTGAGTGGGGAGAAGAAAGGGGAGGAGAATTATGACACAGGACAGCAACAGGAAACCTCCAGAGAAATGGTACTGGGTAGGCTTGAGGGGATACCCTCCCACTATATTGTGCATGCCATACCTATCACATAAAAGATGCCATTTTATACCCAACTGTTCTGTACCTTGCCATTTCACTTAGTAATCCATGGTGATTTGTTTTTTTCTTGTTGTTGATGGTTTTTTTTTTTTTCGGGTTTGTTGTTATTGTTGTTGATGATCATGGGGCTTAAACTCTGGGCCCTGGGCACAGTCCCTCGGCTCTTCAGCTCAAAGTGAGCACTCTACCACTTGAGCCACAGTGTCACTTCCAGTTTTCTGGCAGTTAATTGGAGATAAGAGTCTCTTAGACTTTCCTACCTAGGCTAGCTTTGAACCACAATCCTCAGATCTGAGCCTCCTGAGTAGCTAGGATTACAGGCGTGGGCCACTGGTGCCCAGTGTGATTGGGTTTTATCATCCATTTTAACACAGGTTAGCAGAGTGACAGATGATATGGGAATCAGAGCAAGCCAGGATCAGGAGCTAGGATGGTGAAATGATTTGCAAGGATTGAAAATTAAGCATCACATTAAATATTTTAGAAGAACACATGCATGCATGTGTTCCAACACATCCCTCCTTCGTTACAATTTATAGTGAAAGACCCACTTCCTCTACAATTTCTCTGACCTTGTCCCGGGTTAATAACATGCATGGAAGTATAGCAATTCTTTTGGTTACAAGAAACAGACTCTCATGTGACAAGACTCTGAGTTTTGAAATTACCTCAGACCCAGTGTCTCTCTGTTTGGGTGATAAGATCAAAACATTGCAATAGCTAAAACAAAGACATTTGCTTACAGCTCAAGCAAATCTCCCTAACCTAGCTTCCCCAGTACAAATTGCCTTGATAGAAGCTGCTCCCAGCCTGTCCCTACTTTTATACTCCAAGCTCTTGGTGTACATTTTCCTCATCTTTTTCCTCCTACTGCTTTCTATTCTGTGATTACTTGCCTAATAAAAAAAATATTTGCCCATCTTCTACTTAAATGTGTTTTGTGATATTAGGGTTGGTATATTTTTCCTAGATCTTTGGAAACATCAAGCCATGAAAGAAAACTTTTCAGTTGTAAGACCACAAATAGTTGAAAAATTTATACAGCGATTAATGGAGAATCACCAGGACAGTGGACCAGAGGTATGTGTTAAAAACTAGTAATTATGTCATTTTGTTTTATTTTGGTGATACGCGAGTTTGAAGTTAGAGCCTTAGGCTTGTTAGGCAGGTATTCCCCCTCTGAGTCATGCCTCTAGTGCTTTCGCTGCTGATTATTTTTGAGATAGGGTCTTTTCTGTCTAGGTACTAGACCACAATCTACCTTCTTTAGACTTCCTGTCATAGCTAAGATGACAGATATGCCCCCATCATGCCTCACTTGCACTGTTGAGATGGGAGTCATGGACATTTTTGGCTAATCTTGCCTTGAACCACCAACCTCATCCTCCTGTTCTAGCCTTCTAAGCAGCTAGGATTACAAGGATGAACTACTAGCACCTGGCTGTTGCTGCCGCTGCTTCTTTTGCTTCTTGTGCTAATCCTGCGGCTTGAACTCAGGACTGGGCACTATTCCAGAGCTTTTGTGTTCAAGGCTAGTGCTCTACCACTTGAGCCACAGCTGCACTTTCAACTTGTTCAGTAGTTAACTAGAGATAAGAGTCTTACAGCTTTCCTGACTGGGTTGGCTTTGAACCGTGATCTTTAGATCTCAGCCTCCTGAATAGCTAGGATTACAGGCCTGAGCCAACAGTGCCCAGCTTCTTCTTTCTTTCTTCTTCTTCTTCTTCTTCTTCTTCTTCTTCTTCTTCTTCTTCTTCTTCTTCTTCTTCTTCTTCTTCTTCTTCTTCTTCTTCTTCTTCTTCTTCTTCTTCTTCTTCTTCTTCTTCTTCTTCTTCTTCTTCTTCTTCTTCTTCTTCTTCTTCTTCTTCTTCTTCTTCTTTATGCATCTTCTACTGCTTCCCTTATTCATTAAACACAATGGTATGAATACTTAGGCTGAATTTCAATGGCAGTCATTTATTACATTTAATAGTAGTGTTTATAAATATGTGTTAAAAATATATATGTATGGGCAAATTTCAAAATTTCCCAATTTTTCAACTTGGTTTTAGCATTGTTTTCAGTTTCTGATTTGTTAGTATAGAAATTCAAAAGAGGAAAATCAAAACATCCTATACTACTTATAATTAGAAAACATTTTTCAATGTACACTATTTAAAAAGCCAATAGCATAGAAGGATAACATTTCATATTTTCCTCACGCTAGTTCCCTCTGCTAGGAAGCTGCATCAATAATTTTTGTGTAAATCCTTTCAGAAATGTACTTGAATCCATAACAACTACCTCAATGATAAGTACTTACTATATACACACCTACATACACACCTTCCTTGGAGTTGTGAAGAATGATTACTCTAGGCTAGAAGTGTTTGCTAAAGCAGAAGAACCCATTGAAAAGGCAGGATAAGAGAGTAAGCACAGATGTATGGACATAGCAGTTTTATGATTATGAGTAAGTGCTTTCCGCAAGTTTGAATGTCCAAAACTTGACTATTAAAAAGAACAATCTGTCTTTCCCAGTATGCCAGGCATGCCTGTAATCCCAGCCCTCAGAATGTAGAGGCGGGATTCGAGTTTGAGGCCAGCCTGGGTTACATAGTAAACTCTTTCTCAAACAACAACAACAAACACAATACAAAAGGTTTAACTCTCCTGGAAAACTCTGCTCATTAAAAAAAACACATTGCTGTCTCCAAATTTATATTATTCTAAATTTTGGAAAATGTTCTTCACTTCTATAATAAATAGGTCAGTTCTTAATGATGAGGTAGAGACTTCCCAGGCTTGGCTGGGCATATATTTTCCTCAGAGCTTAATGACTTACATATATTTGTTTACTTTCACACGAACATGACACTGTGCACTGTGCTCTGGGGTGAAGTGGTTGCATCTGTGAGTTGAAGAGGGTGTTTAGGACTGGGCATGCTCAGAAGGGTTTGTGCAAACTGCTGCGGCCTGCCTTAAGAAACAAGAAATGCTAACACAGCTACAACATAGGTGAACCTTGAAGACATATACCAAGTAAAATGAACCAGACGTGAAAGGACAAATTCCATGTGATTCCATTTTTATTATAGTTCAAATGACAAATTTATGTTATTTATTTTTTCCTGTAATACAAAACAATCTTGTGACTCAGCTTCAGCTCATTCCCTCTCTCCACACCTTGAAGACTGTTTTGTTGTTGTTGTTTTAATTTTTGAGACAGGGTCTCACTATATAACTCAAGCTGGACTTAAACTATGTAGCTAGACTGACTTCTTATCTCCATCTTCCATCCTCTGCCTCCTAAGTGCTGGGATTACAGGTCTATGCTACCACACCTGACTGGAAATAAGACCTTATAGAAAAGAAATGTGGGCATTCCTAGGCAAGGCAGACCCATATTAAATATAACTCAATCTCTGAGGTTCAGAGAACACTTGAAGGGATAGGTGTCATCCATGCCATTATCACAGGACTGCTGTATACTGGACCCCTCCATTGTCGGTGGCCCTGTAGGCTGCTGGTCTCTTCTTGTCATCTGTAGGGAGTGGAAAACTATCCTAGATTCGGCCTCTCATATCCATTTCCATCATGGATCCTTTGTGTCCCCGAGACACCACAGATCCCAGTCTAACCCTTAAAAACAAGCCTTCAGATGTCTGAGGCAATTCAATCAGAAAAGCTCAATAGAGGATCACTAGTGTGGGCAAAGGCTGTACATTACAAGTCGTCTATTCTGGAATAAAAAGCAGATGCCCCTCTGGGTGGTAGATCACACATTGTTCACTCTCCTTCAGATGGTGCTCCACTGCGGAACACATGGAATGGAAAATGGAGTGGAGAGCTCTTCACCCAGAGCCTCTGAGCAGGGTCAACTGCACAAGAACCTCTTGACCTCACTTAGCTGCCCTCCTTTCTGCAGACTAAGCCATCTCCATTTGCTTCCACATTCTGTGGCAGTATCCTTCCCACCCGGGTTAGCCTTCTTTACCTTCAAGGTAGTTTGGCAACAAAGTGACCTTGGATGTTTCACTTGGATTAGTGCCTATGAATGTGCTGGGTTTGGCAGCTGTGCCATAGCCGACTCATCCAGCTGTCACCTGAAACCCACCACTGCCATTACTAACAGCTTTGTTCTTACTAAGTTTGGTCCACCTTTAGGCCTCTTTTTGGTTGTTGTTTGCTTTGGTTCTGAGTGTCATTAGAGTTTGAACACAGACAAGGCCTTGCGCTTGTCAGGCACATGTTCTACCATTGGAGCCATATTCCCAGTCCTTTGTAGACCTCTTGAGAGCTGGATTATTGTTATCCAATGTGCTTTTTCCACATTTCAAGTTAAGGTCAATCTTCCCTCAGTATCTTTGTTTAAGTCACTAGTAGCAGTGGTGAGAGCACAGGCCCCAAGCCCATGCTTCAGATCTTCCCGCTCAGCTTTCCAGAGGCCAGAAGCTCATCCAGCTTACACGGCCACTCAGCCCAGGCCCTCCTGGCTTTCCTTCTCCATGTCCTGCTGAAAACCAGGAGTACTACATCTGCCTAATTTCCTGAGAACACAAAGTTAATCCCATCTACTTTTCTGGAACCCACGCAGGCTTCTTATGATCTTTGCTTCTGTCTCCAATTTTTAGAACACCAGCTTTTCATAGTCATTCTAGTATCTCTCCCTGATTTTATACCATATATTGCAAATTAACTATAATAACCTATTTTGTGAATTCCAGAACCATTGCCATTTATATGCCAAGAATCTTCTATTCATTCAGCAAATAAACATTTGCAGATTTCCTACTTTTCAAGCTCTTTTATTAGAGATGTAAAGGCAAGAGGCAAGATCCCTGCCTCCAAAGAACTTGTGGAGACAGTTTGGTGAATCAGCAATGTCCAGAAAAGGAATGAGTGCTTTGCGAGAGCAGGCACTGGGCACAGAGTGAGCTCAGAGAAGGGGGACCCACCCATGCTTCCTGGAAGACTTTGTGTGTGGGCCAAATCTTGAAGCATAAGTAGGAGCTGACTGGATGAAGGGAAGCAGGGGAGGGAAGGCAGGGTGATCTAGGAAGGGAACATAGCAGAAAAAAAAGGAAGAATACTAAGGGGACAAACTCGATGCTGAGTGTCTTGTGTACCATTCTCAAGGGTCTGCCTTTTATCCCAGAATCAGTGGAAAGTTATGAAATTATTGTCAGCAAGCTGAGTGGTTTAGAAACAGGCATTCCCAAATGCCTGTCTGGATCTTAAACAAATTGGCATAGGGGACTCTACCATGAACCAGGATCTTAATAAGGTCTGGCATCTGCCATGCTCCACCCTAGTCTGGCTCTCTGGAAGAATCTGTGGAGCAATCTGATGCTCTTCCAGCCAGCACTACCTGTCAGAATTCAGGTTTAACAATAGTGACCGTCTTCCCAGAGGAGGATGGGGTTGCGCACTGCACAGAATTGGGTCCAAGGGCTGACTTCAGCTCTCGTGCCACTCAGAGCCTTGGAAGGAAAGTGATCAGAGGAAGCCCATTCCTACTGCATTCTGACACAAGGAGAGGTGGCATTTACAGTGACCAGTAAGACAGGAGTGGATTACTGAGAGCTCCGAAGAGTGTGCCAACTGAAACCACTGTATTCCAGCAGAGATTGCTCGGATAACTTCAAATGCTGTTTCTGGAAGGCCCAGTGCCTGAGCCTCTCCCGCTGCCCCTCTCCCCCACTTCGCAGTCGCAACATCCCATGTGCCCCACCTCAGACTTACTTCCCATTCCATGCCGAGCACTGATGCTCAGGCAGAGCATTAGAAAAGTAAATGAGGTTAACTTGGTGTTCTCCCCAGTTTGTGTTCACTCCCCATTTCCACCTTCATGCCCTGTGTGCTATTCTTAAGCTGATCATAGACACGCCCCCCCCCATCTCCATTTTCTAAAGACTCAACAGAGCTACCCAGAGAGTGCTGGCTAAAAAGATAGCAGAGGGCTGTGATGGTGCAGCTGTCAGAAGGGTTGTGGTGGTGTCCATTTAAGACATGACTGACCTGCTAAAGAGACCCAGTGGGGACTCTGTGGGCATGCCAATGTCCAGGCACCCATGCCCAGGACCAGAGAGAATGAGGCA